CCCCAAAACAAAAATGCATGCAGAGGTAGATTCATTCAAAACAGCCATTCCTGTTCAAATTCCCACAATAAGCTCACTCCAGGACAATTTAACATACAGGTAAGCCCTTAAAACCACGGCTCATTTTTCTGGGGGGTTAGTTATTCAGCACAAATGGTTGTGACTGTTCAAAAGATTAATAGCTATTGTTTTGACTGAGATCATGCAAAATCTCACCCAGAACATAAATTGTCTGGGGAGGTTAAAGTCAGCTGGAAAGCAGAGGGGGATTAGAAGAAAAGTTAAATGCAACCTGAACTAAAGCAGGTGTTACTGGCACCTGCTACAGTATCATAATCTGAGCAGTGGTATAAATAGACCATACTTTAGTAGCTAGACACCTGGGGTCAGGGGGCACATGACACGAGGGAAAGATGTATTGCTGGTAAACAGTCTATCATTTCATTAATTTAGGCCCCGTGAAACAACCTGGTCATTATTTGCTAAATGTAGTACCTACTTGCAGTAGCAGAGTCATTCAAGCCATACATGCATTAAATAACTGAAATCTTATCCTCTGAAACAGCAATTTAAATATACTTAAGATGAAATGGTGAAAAAACTCCAGGACGTGCTTAAGATGATGTCATTGCTATATACAGGCTTAAAGTATAAAACCAGGTAGCTTAACAGACTATTTTAATACAATTAATATTTTAATTAATATTCAGTGGTTTTTCTCATTTAACAATAGTTGAGCTTGACTTCTCTAATGCTTTGCAATACTGAATACAACTGAAATGTTACAGGCTGTGAGCCTCCTCAATTTTTTATGGGAAACCAGCATAACAGGAAGACAATTTCAGAGTTATTTTGAACTAATATTTCTGGATACATTTACTTTATAAATAAATTTTAAAAGAAAAAATCATCTGTAACTGGATTTAGAATGTTAATAAATCTCAAAAAATGTGTTTTCAAATTATTTCATATTTAAGGTTTTAAGTATTTTTTTCAAAGAATTTTGTGTTCTCTGATCATAAGTGCTAATATGATAGCAGCCAGATATTTTCAACATATATTATATCCTTCTTAAAATTTGAAAAATAACCTTTAGTGGTTGATTTTGATTATGTACAATAATCAACTTTTCTGAATATGCCTCAAACAAGACAGCTTCAAATCAGAATTACAATATTCTCAGGAGAATTGCTGGCACAGTCCTCATGGTTTACAGGAATTCTAACCACACTGTAAAATGCAGGTAGTATATTTATGTGGGGAAAAAATAAATAAAAATTAGCAGCATCCAAGTTATACTTACATGTCCAAATTATAGCGTACTTAGCTAAGATTAGTACTTTTTTAGATTTTGTCATATTTAAGAGTTTTTACTACTAATATTAGCAACATTGAAACAGTGTAATATTTTAAATAGGTGAGGTTTTTTTTAATGAGTTATGTTTTCTCATTTCACATCTTCAGGATATTAATAAAACTTTGTAAAAAAAAATAATCCAGAAGCTAAATATTGTTATTTTATGGCTAACCAAATTTAGAAGATGCAACTGAACTGAAAACGATTTACTGCTTCAGGTAGCTAACAACCTTCTTTTCCTGGTACTGCTATACACTAACAGAATCACAGAATCACAGAATGTCAGGGATTGGAAGCGACCTCGAAAGATCATCCAGTCCAATCCCCCTGCCAGAGCAGGAACCTAAATGAAATTACACAGGAAGGCGTCCAGACAGGTCTTGAATATCTCCAGAGAAGGAGACTCCACAACCTCCCTGGGCAGCCTGTTCCAGGGCTCTGTCACCCTCACTGTAAAGTAGTTTTTTCTCAAGTGTAAGCAGAACCTCCTGTGCTCCAGCTCACACACATTGCTCCTTGTCCTATCGTTGGGCATCACTGAGAAGAGCCTGGCTCCATCCTCATGACATTTGCCCTTAACATAGTTGTAAACATTAATTAGGTCTCCCCTCAGTCTCCTCTTTTCCAAGCTAAAGAGACCCAGGTCCCTCAGCCTTTCCTCATAAGGGAGATGCTCCACTCCCTTAATCATCTTCGTGGCTCTACATCACCAAAAATGTAATAGTTGAAATTTCTGGTTGTTAACACTTTTTTCAAACTCGTACAGATGATGTTGTAAGCTAAAATCTGCTTTTAAACACAATAGTTCATTAATCATATGACTAACAAACCCAACCACTTACTGTAAGCACTGTTAAAACACAAGGAGATTTACCGGTAGAAAGGATATTTCAAACTTGAAATTTACATGACTAGTAAGAGCCAAATATAGAAGAAAAGTATTTCCAAATTCAGTAACTACTCACGTAGATGCCCATCCCATTAAAGGGTTCTCCCAGCGCTCCCTGTTATCAAATTCCATCTTCCATTTCTTTGTATTGTTAACTCCTGCCTGCATCGCATTACGTGCTGGAACAAAAATGTGAACTTTTCTGGTTTTGATGTGCTCATCTGGAACACCAGTTAAAGCAGTGATATCCTATGAAAAACACAATGGAACTTGTTAAAAAAGAGTTCACGTAGAAGTCTTGTAAAACAATACTGCTTATGCTTTTTACATAATTTCAAGTTTTATTTTTATTTTTAAGTTACAAAAAAAAGAGAAAAAAAATGCAGAAAAGTATGTTATGAGTTCTGTTGTATAAAGTGTGGCTGATACATGTTGGGGCTGCTATCATCCTTCTTCCCCTAGCTGAATTAGATTTTGCATGGATCAGTTACCTGAACCTGCTCATCTCCCAGCTACACAACAGCTAGTGCCAGAGGAGGGACAGGACATTCCTTCCCATCCTCTGACCACAGCTGCAAAGTCTGGACTGCACGAACGTGCACCAGCAAAAGCAAATGCGGAAATGCATAAACTCTTCTTTCTTCATTAAAGAAAATATTAAGAGAACAGACTGAAACATCAAGAAATTCTGAAATTTTACATTACTATTGTAAGCCTAAGCTTCCTGTGAACAGGACTATTCACCAAAATCCTAGCCAGCCAACTATATGCTGCAGTGTAAGTGCTTTCACTTGGGCTTAAGCCTGTACATAATTAAGAAGCACCAACATCCATGTTGACTCAAGAAGCTATGCTTAGCATGAAGGAAGAGGCAGGAGGTTATCTTTCGCACAATAATCTATTGATTGTTTGAGACTCCAGCGCAGGTACTAGAATTCAGCTGTGTGATTTCCCTAACCATTAGTTATTACATAAAATTGACCCCTTCGTGTTTCAAGCTATGAATATCAGCTTTTGAGAGTCTGTGGATATTCAAGATCACACACACACAGAACATTTGATACTGGTAACATTCTTTGGTATTTTTGTGAAGGACAAAAGGATTCAGTAGATTCCAACCTTCAAAGGAAAAAAAAAAAAAAAGCTTGAAACATTGTATGTAGTCAGTAGTAGGAAGCCCTTTTCTACTAGGGCTTGGCTTGTGAGCCCTCAACAAATAAACCTAACAAAGACAAAAACTGAAGGATCACAAAAACAGTCTAAGAATATTAACTGACTTTAACAAAGAATAAGATAGGGAAAAGCCTCACAAGAATTGCTGGGAAAAATTACCCTCAGCAGCATCTGGTATAATCAAAGTGAACTTTCTCACTAAAAACTAAATAGTAATTACATAAAATTAACCTGTCAGTTCACCCTAGTAAAGAGTGAAATCAAACATCAAATCCATCTCTAAGGATGCAAAACTACTCCTGTTCCTTACATACTTAAAAGGCCAGTGGGAGCTCCTTGGTCTCCCTCCTTGCACTCCCCTCCCCTCCTCTATCCAGGAACAAACAGTAAACTGGTAACAGCCAAAAAAAGTGCAGCAAAACTTTGGACATACTGAACTCATCTCTCCACTACCACCAAAATTTGAATTAAAAGGCACACAAGTTTAAATAAAACACTGCGGCTTTACATGTCTGTAGCTACTAACTTTTGTTTTGTGGCAAACTTAAAAGCTCTCAGTGGTGTCACCAGATCATCCTTTGAAACGAGGCAACTCTCATCTTCCATTTTACTTCAGAAAAACTACACAAGGGAGCAAAGTTTAAAGCATTTGTATTTGCAATTAGAACAGCAGGGGAAACAAACAAGCAGGCAAACTAATTTTCCAACTTCTGACATTTCTACCCAGAGTACCGAAAGAAACTGTCAAAATAGCTTAACAATTCCATTATAAATGCTTTTGTTAGGACCAAGTAATGTTTATTTTTAATATAAGTTTAGCAGTGATATGAAAAAGAAACACTATCAGTCACTGGAATGTTGCAACACGTATGTAGAACGCCTCCTGACAGACTGGCATTTCTGACTGCTGAAGCTTAAACCACAGTTTTAGAAGGAAATAGCTTAAAGTTTTCTTATTTGAATTGGCAAAGTGCTTTCTTTAACAAAAAACGTTTTTCACCTGCAGTAAAGTTTGGTTGACCGTTTATGGGAATAGGCTACTACATTAGCCTTTATTTCTGTATTTATCACACGTGCCTACTGAGGAAATGTAAGAATATTCACAAAATATTTCTTTTTCCCCTCTGAAATAATCTGCTACATGTAAAAATTCTGAATTTGTTATCATCAAATACCTCCAAATATGAAAACTTCAAAACAGCTCAAAATTATGATTTTTTTTAAATATTATTATTCTCAGCAACTCATATGTCCATTGTGAATTTTATGCTTCAGATTTAGAGGTTTGTTTTAATTATTCCATAATTATCTGGAATTATTAAAACAAGATACTAAGTTATATAACATTATGAACATATACAATTTCTTAATTTGAAGCCTCCACACCAGAGTATCATAAAAATACTACACATGAGTACATACAGAACACAACCTAAAAAGAGTATTAAAAACCAGCAAATGCTATATTTATGAGGTAACTGTAGTTAAGAAATGACTAGACTTGTTCATCTAGATGAAAATAAAACCAAAACCGCAGACAAACCGTAAGTCCCTTGAAGCCATGTTTTTTTGGGCACTCAGTTGGCTCCAAATCAAAGTTATTTCACTAATAATACAGGATTCATCCCATAAAAATCTCTTCAAGGTGAAAACTAAAACCTGCCTACTTTCTGAAACTGAAGTATCTACGTGGTGTTGCTAGCTCTTCATGCTAGCTAAAGTTTCCATGCCTTCTGGGAATCTAGCAATTGTTTATTGATATCTTCCCCATTTTGAAGCTGGGAATTGAACAGACAGTTGTTAGGACAATGAGTTTCTGGTTTCTGAAGCCCAAGTTGTCCTGACATAAAATCACTGTTTTTGCTTGCTATAGACATGTAAGGTACTGTAGCACAGCTGAGCTGTTGCCAAAGATATGGAATAAAAAGGCTTGGCATCTATCACATACTTGACACCTAAAGAGCACAGAAGCTCTAAAATTCCTATTCCCTGTAGGCGCACTCTTAGTCTAGACAAACTGATTTCTCACACTTTTAAAATGCATTACAACACTCTATTGTGATCATTTCATCCACACAGCTCCAGCTAGTGACAGAAGAACCTGTCCTTTAAGCGACATTTCAATGGGCTAAAGCTCCCGCTCCAAGATGCCATTAAAACAATATAATACTTGAAAAGAACTATGCTGCACTGGGTTGAACTCTTTACTGTGTCTTCAGTGCTTTGTTCTGAGTTCAAGTTCTCATTGAAACTACCTGTGAACCAACTTTCCAAAACAAAGATGTTTTTGACAGCTGGTTTCACATTACTATCTCTCTCTCTCTCTTTTTTTTTTTTTTTTTGAAGTGTTCCTTACTAAATTTTGCTATATTAGCATATTAAAATATTAGTGAGGTATTCAGCATTCAAAATTCTAAATAATAAGGTGACAATATAAAAGACTTGAGATTTGAACTGTATAGGTTTGCTTTACTAAAAATTAACAACCTTGCTTCACATTTTTAACACAAGCTATCACCGAAAAGGTACATTCTGACATTGTGTTTTTCTTAATATATATAGAGGGTTGGGTTTTTTTAATAGCAACCTCCGAATTTTTTTTTAAATAAAAAAATTAAAATACTCATTTTGAGGCATTTTGGCTCTTCTTGGAATCAGCTAAGAGGGACAAAACAGTTTTTAGACAGCAGAAATCACATCAAATTGCTTACAAATGAAGAGGAGGTTTTGTCTTTATTATAACTTACACTATTTAAGAACATTTGTGACAGTGGAAAGCCTGGTAAAGCTGTTCTGGAATGAGTAATAAGAAATGATAAATGTGCTACACAGAAGGGAGAATAACTGGTTCACAGAAGTAGTGTCAATGAAAGCAGTATTCAGCATGAAGATGACTTTTAAAGGAAACAAGAATTTCCTTCTTTTAAGTAACACAATAATAGCACTAATTCCAAAGGGGACAAGAAATAGACCCCAGTAATTCAAGGGAAACAGACAAAATAATTGAAAGTATCTCTGAAAAAAAGTGTTTTTGAATAGGTGGGTCAGGTGTGCATGAAGGTGTCATGCTTCTCTTACAACACGTATAGACAAAAGCTGTACATAACCGCTATCAACTATTTACTGTTTAGCACCCCCCTCCCCCCACCCCCCCTCCTTTTTTTTTTTTTTTTTTTAATAAAGGAAACGGGGAACAAGCAATGGGAAGTTGATGTCAAAACACAGAAAAACCTCCCAGCAAGCTTCCAGCAACCACCCAGGATTTAGAGTCTTGCAAGCTGCTCTCTTTTCAATACCAGAATTTCACACATTTCAATGACCATTATGACTTCAAAGAATCAAATTTTCATCATTGTCCGTCATCTGCCGGTTGATTTGTATAAAGGAGTTCTTCTGCATGCACTCCAGACAAAGGGCTCCTTACTTTCGTGGCTATATATCAAGTTTAAAGTTCTGTTTGTGACAGTTGTGTCTGTGGTAAATTAGGGTAACACTGAAGGAGTGCAGCTGCTCTGCAGGAACCTCCTTTTTGGCATCATTTCACTTAAATAAAAACTGAATAATTAGCTTCTGCCTTTATTAAACCGCAAAAATGCCACTGGCCTTAGTAATTACTTCCGGTTGCCCCACCTACTTAACCTCAATAGTTTACACTTGTTAGAAAGGAGGGAAAGTTGAAGTTTTCTGTACTTTATAGTAGTTTACAACAGCTTGCTCTCTTCCCCACCCCCAACATGTTTTACCAGACTAAGTGCATAAAATTTTGCTATAAATTCATGTTGCAATACACTTTCTTCAAGAGCTGTTATATCAAAGCACAGAACATGTTGCATAATACTTATAAAATAGCTGCTGTGAAAGGAGCTTTTTATTTAGTGTACTCAGCTGCTTAGGCTATAAGTCAGGATGAGAACACTTACGTTTCTACACTTCAATACGGTATTTTTGAAACAAATGTAAGAGAACAGAATCTACTATGCAAATTGCAAGTGGAAAAATGGAGCAGAATGAACTAAACATGGTCAGACAACATTTAACTAACAGCTACAGACATAACAAGGGGAAAAAAGCATA